TATGAATAGTTTTATCACTCACATTTTTCAGAAAATATAACAATGCAATACACGAGACAAGAATTCGTAAGCGAAAGGAATCTTTATGAGATGTAAGCAAAGCCATAACTGTTACCTTCCCAGTTTCATCGATCGATCCCTCGAGAAATGATTCCCCATTCCACGTTCTTCAACTAACATCACCAACAAAGAATTTAATATTCATATATTCACTTTCGTATAATACTCGTAAACTTAATACTAGCTACTTAACTGGGCAAATCTCGTCTCAAAGACTTTCATCGACATCAGAATAAAATAAATCTATGACTATTATTATTATTATAATTATTATTATTATTTGATTTTGCTTTGGGTTGTGACTTCAAGTCTCAACGGGAGGATTCAAGAGACAACAAGTTATTTTTGTATCAGAAGATACAAATAGGTAAGGTATACTGTACTTAGAAAATTTGTAATTGTGGTCACTGCATTGAGAGAAATCTACACAAGATGTCAGAAGAACGCATGAGTATTACATTTTTGTAATTCCCATAATTTAGGTCTATCAGGAATTTGTTTCACATATTTATTTGCTCCTTTTGATATAATTCCCAAAACGTCAATAATAAGAGTTAATGCTGTTGACATGGATGCCACATTCTACTGTTTTAGGGCTGCCTGGAATTTGATCCACATATATTTATTTGCTCCTTTTTATATGCTTCCCAAACTCCGAATAACAACAGATCATGTTGTTGTCTTTTAGATGCCACATTCTAATCATTTAGGGTTACCAGGAATTTGATCCACATATATTTATTTGCTCCTTTTGATATCATTCCCAAAATCCCAATAAAAACAGGTAATAACTTTATTAATATATAATTTATAGCACTGTTATTTTAAATCGAGCACTATTTCATTAACATCAACATTCTATGTGCGATATTATATATATATATATATATATATAGTAATACCTTGTGATACGTGTTTAATACGTTCCAAAAAAGAGCTCGTAACTCAAACCATTTGGTTCTCAAATCAATTTTTCTCAATGAAATTAATGGGAATATTTTCGATCCATCCCATTCCCCTAAAAAGCACCCTTACTTTCCTAAAACTAAACCCTATTCTTGTATTTGTGAGTTTCTTACAAGCGAAAGCGTGTGAATAAACAAGTAATGCAGTTTACAATCAATAAAATAAAAGAGAACAAGCAAATTGTAAAGAAATTAACTATACTAAACCATGAAATTCAGACGAGTCATAGGCCAACTGGCGGATGAGAGTAAGAGAGAGAGAGAGAGAGAGAGAGAGAGAGAGGACAACAGCTAGCCTAGCAACCGATAAACTAACCTAGCAACGGCAAGCTCCGTCTACGATACCGAATATTAATTTTATCATTTGCTTTTTTATTTTTTTAAAATATTTACATTTTATCCATTACTGTAACTAATTTTTTTTCATTTTTATAATTTTTTATTTATCGTCGATATAGAACCTCATACTTTCTCGCCACATGCATTACTCGTACGTTTTTCTCATGTTCTTTTTATAATTTCCCGCTTTACCTCAAGCGAAATCATACGTTTTGACTTTTCAAGGAATGGCCCGTACATGTTAATGTCTCCCAAACAAAACTGCTATCGTTTAATCACCATAGGAAACCATTTTTGCCTTCCATCAGCGTGGTTGAGGCTAATCTCCCGGAGGAAAAAATCTTTGCGCCTTCTTGATCTCATGTTTTTCACTGACATAAAGTAGATTGATTATATTGAATCAAATGCAAGGCCTCCTGCTGAAAAAATATTGCCTCTGTGTCGTGTTAAATATTTTTTCTTATTAGAATCCATCTTGCACATTCATAAATCTACTATTCGTCTGTCCATTGAATATTTCTGCTATATCTGGTCTAGTGCTCCTGCTAAATATCTCAAGATTACCGACAATATCCAAACAGGTGTTGGAAATGTAATCGTTACTGACTTCGGTGACTTTTCCACCAAGGTGACATTGCTTCCTTTTGTGTTTTCTATATATATTTTCAATTGTTCTAATAAGGTCTATTCCTTGGTATCTCAACCGCGAGGATTTTAATGTATTACTTGATTAGCTATTAGGCCTCATCGTTTTACTGTTGAATTATCTAAATCCAACCTTAGGTTCTATTCTCATCATTTACTTTCTCGCCTGTAGAACTCTCTTCTAGTTTCTTACTTTCCTGGACCTGTTCCATCTTCCTGGACTCGTTGCTTTATGGTCCTTTCTCCTCACTAGTTTTCACATTCCCTTTCACTCCCAGTAACCATTTGCCTCTTGTTATGGGATCTTACCCATAATAATAATAATAGACTATTCCATACTTAATAAATACTGCGCCTCAGGAGAAGGCAAGGAGTCAACGCTCAAGTATTAAACGACAGATCGGTTGAACTCTCTGCCTTCGGGCGGGGAGGAACCCGAACTAGGCTACGCTGAGGGGCGGAGTCTCGTTCGGGGAGGTAAACCGGCCCTGAGCCCGTTTATACGGGTTCAATGGGCATATTTTGGGGCTGAGCCCACGGGCTCGGAGAACCCACAATAAATAACCTACCTTGTGTCACATGATGCCCCAGTGGGGGGTGACTGAATATCGTCAGTCGTTCAAGTGTTGACCGGCTGTTCGGTTGAACTCTCTGCCTTCGGGCGGGGAGGAATCCGAAGGAGGTTACGCCGAAGGGCGGATTCTCTTTCGGGGAGGTAAACCGACCCTTAACCCGTTTATACGGGTTCAATGGGAATATTTTTGGCCGAGCCCACGGGCTCAGAGTTCCCACGTTAAACCGGCCTTGTGCCACATGACGCCCTCGTGGGGGGGTTGACTGAATATCGTCAGTAGTTCAAGTCGAGTCAGTAGTTCAAGTAGAGTCAAGAGTCGAGTCAGAGGCAGTCCGAAACAGAGTCGCGTTCAGACAATTACTGCAAGACATTGGAATAGTGATACTGGTCGAGACTATATTGTTCTCTCAACTAAACCTGATTGTTCATACTAACACATCTACTTCTCTGTATATATTCCTGATTGTAATATATCTGTATTATTCCATACCTGTGTTTGCGTTCTTCTTTATTGGTTCTACCTTGGACTATCACCGTGGTACAAGGAACCGGACCATAACACCTCTTAGTGGCATTATTGCATCGGTTGGCGTGAAATGATTAATATGTTTTGCATTAGAATTCACCGAATTTTATACTGACATTACGAAAGAAGAAATTAACATTATTATGAACTGCAATAAATCAATATGAATACACAATAACTAAGAGTGGATTAAGAATTCATCAGATAATTTTGACTTATCTGTGGGGTCTCTGGATTCTGGAGAATTAGTAGGACTATTTCTCCTGTACAACCTTACAGCATTTGACAAAATTAACCTAAACAGTATAGGGATTTATAAGGACGATGGTAACATGGTTGTTAATGAATATACTAGAAGTAAGGTCGATAAACTTGGAAAAATAATACATAGGGTTTTAATTGTTTGGGTCTCTTACAAATAACCTGTGTAAAAATCCTAACCAGTGCCTGTTATCTAACAGGTGTTTAACAAAATCCATAGTATACGATTATACTATTACCTTGGTTGAAAGTCTCAGGACTTCTGAACGCTTCTACATCGGAAATACAATGAATGATTTCAAAAAAGTGCTTTTATAACCATATCTCATCTTTTAACGCAGATAAACGAAGCATGACTTCACTTTCTAAGTATTTTTGGGAATTAAAAGACAAAGATAAAACATCCAAAGTTAAACGGAAAATCCTAAAACAAGCTGGAATTTCGAGGTCTCTATACGAACCATGTTTTCTCTGTCTACAGGAGAAAATACAAATAATTAAATACTCGAACAATGACAATCTGTTGACTCGGAGATACAAAACGGCAATAAATTGTAAGCATACAAAGGAATTAACCACGCAATCTTGCTAAAGAAATTTCTAATCTGCGAATGAATCCTCTTATGTTTATTATGTTTATAAACATAGCATCGTAACCACCATCAATATAGCCTAGTTGTACTTGTATTATATATATATATATATATATATATATATATATATATATATATATATATATATATATTTAAACACCTGTTGGATATATATATATTTTTGTTAAACACCTGTTGGATAACAGGCACTGGTTAGGATTTTTACAAAGGTTATAAATATATATATATATATATATATATATATATATATATATATTTTTAATTTTACTTTGAAATTTAACTTTAGACCTAAAGTATATTCTAATTTATTCTTGCTTCCCTAAGTTAACCGTAATATATGATAATCGTAATTTTATTTTGGGTACTTTTATTATTTATCCATTATTTGTTTTGAACATTGTTACTTAACCTATTTAATAATGCTTTATAAATTAATATTAATAAATTAATAAAATAATATAGAAATTTAAAAATTTAAAATGTTCGTTCACATTCGTAAAATCAATACTCATAAAATTAGCAGTGTGACTGGCGCCGAATCGATCGGGTTTCGATCCAAGTTCATCTATATCTTCCGTACTTCTTTTTTACCTTTCTATATGCAATAACATCACTTCCATTTCCCAACTTAATTTATTGAAATTTGAAGGTTAATATTAATTTTAATGTTATTTTACCGATTTTTTCTATCTCGATTTCACCACTTATTTATTTTTCAAAAATTTATTAGTTATATTACTTGAATTAATTTTCTCTTTAATAATGCTTTATGCTAAAAAATAATACGAATGTTTAAAATGTATGTAGTATATATTTTACAATATATTCATATTGTAAAATAAAATTTGGTTAAGTATAATAAATATGACAATATAAAGATTTAAAACCGGTTTAGTATTCTAATCTATATTAGAAAATTCGTTTCATAAAATACTGTAGTACTCTTTTACATTCCATGAATTATTGTCTCCGAGCAGAGGAAGTTTTTGTCTTAGAAACATTAACCTAACCCCACTATGTTACCGTTAAAATTCGAATTCTGTGATTGGTTGAATTTGTTCCTTTTTAGTTTATCTCACCTCCCTCCAACCCCTTTTTTCTCCACCTTTGATGCCTTTTCTTGGCCTTTTTTCCTCTTATTTCTCTTCTCTCTGACTCTGTCTGTCTCTCTCTCTCTCTCTCTCTCTCTCTTTCTCTTTCTCTTTCTCTCTTGCTGTTACTAATCACTTAGCTTCCTTTCTTTCTCCACTCGTAATTTTTTTATTACCTTTTATGACGTAAGTAGAAGATGTGATTCGTTAACTCCATTTCGGAATAAAATATTTTAGTAGCATCGTGATTCTCCACCTGATGAAACGTTAAAAATAATTTTAACGTTGAAACAAGATGTACAGTTTTGTAGTGCGTATGTGTATGCTCCAATGTAACATTGCATAATAAATAGATATTTACTGCTCTACTTTTGTACTGAGCCCTGTTTTAAATTAATGTTTTGAACGCTGAAATCTTAATCTTCGTTCTTTTACAATTATATATATATATATATATATATATATATATATATATATATATATATATAGGAATGTATTATTCATTTATTAATTCGGCATATTTTAATTTGTTGCTTAAACCTGATTTTAGACCATTTACCTGAATATGGTTATCCGCTAAAAATAACGTTTAACCAATAAATATATATATATATATATATATATATATATATATATATATATATATATATATATATATATATATATAATGTAATTACTGCCTATTCCAAGAATATTTGTCTTCTAGAAAGTCTAACTAATCACTATGGCAAACACCAGCTCACGCACATTTGTATTTCTTCAAAGTCCAGAGTTAGCAAAGACAGTCAAACAGTTTCGTGTTTACAACTTTACTGACAAGGATCTGGGTCAACCCCAAATATGGTCTCCAAGCACTTCCCAACTATGCAGCACTTTCCCAGGAGTGGGGGGGGGATATTATCAAAATGTCACTACCTTAACAAATCGACCATGGTTAGAATCGAATCATGGTCGGGACCCTAATGGTCTAAAACTCTGTCTGAAATTATTAAGCAAATCATGTAAAGTTTTAATAGATTTGGTTTGAAAAATTTGTCAAATTTTAAAAAATCAATTTAGATAAATAAACAAAATCAATTTTAGATCTTAAACAAAGCCTGGGTTAAAATTTTAGGTAGTATCAATGTTTTATTGAAGTTATTTGATATATTCTAAAAAAGAATCTGCCGTCTCAAATTATTAGGCAAAACCAAATAATCACATTTTACTCCAATAAAAATGTAATAAAATCATCAAAAATTGATCAACACCTATAATAGAACAAATATCAAACACATATGATAAGTATTTGAATCCTTTACATTTTAATATGGTATTCATTGATTTTGTTTATTTTTTCTTTACTTCAGCACGTTCAATTTCCAACATGTTTTTTTTTTAATTGCTTCCCATAGGTTTGCTTTACTGTTATATTGTTTGCCGCCTTTATATAATTTCATCTTCACCATTGACCATAAATTTTCAATCGGATTTAGATCAGGACTTGGCGATTATCTTCTTTCCTTGTAAATATTTTATGCTCAAAGAATTCACGGGTAAGCTTAGATACATGAGAAGAGGCATTGTCGTGATTAAATACACACTTCAGTTTGAAACTGTGAGACTGGGACTTGTACCATGCAAAAAGAGTCTTATTCATAAAATCAGAATAGTTACTCATGTTCAGTTTAACTCCTTCATCGACTTTGAAATGCCTAATATAGGTTTGGTTGACAATTCCAGCCCATATTTTAGCTACATGCACATCTGAATTGGATAAAATCTATACTTTGAACCATCCATCAGGTCTATCAAATGTCACATTAAAAAAGTCAATTTTCATGTATTTCTTGACCTAATTTTAACGCTTTAAAATATTTATCCTCGTGAGAGATGTTTTTACAAATCCCTGTTCACAAAGTATTCTACACCTTTTGTCCTTCTTGACTCCCTCAATTCCAACCTTTTCAAAGATCTAAGCGTTGGTCACAAGTAGGTGTTTCGCTATAACTTGCTTTAGTTTAGGCTCATCTCGAGAGAGCAAGTTCTTAAAGCCTTTTCCTGTGCATCGATTTCCCAACTTATTTATATTTTTAACAGCCATCTTTATGGTTCGATGATCTCTGCAAAACCCCTTTTACATCTTCAATGTGGACTTTCTCTCACTCAATAACTTTGTTATTTTCTGTTTTTTAGTAGTTGTTAGATCCTTCTCTTTACCCATGTTTCAACATGTACTCTAAATAAAAAGAAAAATAGTTATTATTAGATTTCAGAGACCTTAAGCTAATATTAGTTTAATCTGTATACTAACTTCAGTCAGTCAATTTTCGTAAATTCCAAATATCTCAAAACCTAACCATTAAAAATGGCAGAAAACTTAGATAAATATTTTACTAAGGGTGGAAATAGATGAATTTAAATTTGACAAATATTGGTTCAGAACTGTTTGAGTTTTTTAGGTTTATTTGATTTATATAAATTCAGACAGCCTGTATAGTCATGTTCACGACTACCAAAGCTACCAGTCTCATGACAAACGTTTAAATAACTGTTGAAAAAAATTATGCCTCAATTTATCTTCACCATTTTCCTCCCACGTGGTGCCAGTTGTGCCAATCCCTCCTGTTGAAATGCACCCCCACAAAATGATGCTGTCACTGCCAGTGTTTCACAATTAGAATGCTTTTCTTAGGTTTGCATTCGTCCCTTTTTTTACCGTCAAACATTGCACAGTCAATATGACTAAATATTTCAATAACTTACAGCTGCTAGATGTAACCATAAATTCTGTGCTAACAGTTTATTTTCTCGCACTTCTCGCTTGTGGAACTCACTTCCGGCTACATGCTTTCCAGCCAACTTTAATCTTCAAAAATTTAAATCCAATGTCAATCGCTCTCTACTGTCCTCCTGGTTACTCTTTTTGTTCCCGTTCATTAGTAATGGTTATATCCTTCTACACAGTAACCCCTTGTGTCTTAGTGGCTTTACTGCCTTGCATGGGGTAAAATCTGTGAAATTTATTTTTTTTAAATATTTCAAATTGCATTTCTCCAAAAGAAGTTGCAGAACGTAGTTTTATAGCTGTTTAGAACAGTGACTTTTTTTCAGGTTGTTGAATAATCGGTTTGTAGTTGCTTTCAAAGCGTTGCATAGATGTGACAAAAGACTGAGAATATGGAGCACCTGGTGAATACTGAACACTCTACTCATTCGTAATTGATCTAGCGAGACAAGTATGTTAACCACTACACCATATCAAAGTGCCGTTTTGGATATCTGTATATACTTATTTTTATCTAGATGATCTTTTCCTCTACCATCTTCACAGGGTACTTTGCTGTTGTTCTGGAATTAAACTACACCTATTATATCAACGCATGTTAATCTCTAAGGGACAGAACGTGTCTCGTTTCTAAGCGGTAATACAAACCGGCTGTCACATATTGTTTATGCTAGTACAGATGGACATGATGCTTTGAAAATTGCTTCCAAGGATAAACCAGACGAATGGAGGTCCATACTTTTTTTTTGGGGGGGAGTCTTGGATAATTTCTTTTCATATTCCTATGATATCAAGCAGTTAAGCACTGAATTTGCAGGTAGGCGGTAAAATACATCCATAGGTACACACCCAGTACACACTCGCATGTTGTTAATTATCCAGTCAAAAGCTTCTACGGTACTGACGTCATTTTCTGTAATAATCCAAGCTGTTTGAATGGACAATTATTTTAATGCATGCATACTTATGAGCCACTTGGAATGGGGTAAAAACTTATGACCCACTTTGAATGGGGTAAAAAGAATTAAAGCTGAAATAAATCATTAATCGGACATTTCACTACAGCAATTACGTGTAATAAATGTTATCTGTTAATCAACTATATATATATATATATATATATATATATATATATATATATATATATATATATATATATATATATAAGTATATAAATATATATATATATATATATATATATTGCTGAAACTCTAGAGGAACAAAGATGCTGAAGTGTCCATCAAACATTTATCATTTAACATCAATCATTTAAAGTGACACACCTTTTATACTCTCTCTCTCTCTCTCTCTCTCTCTATCTATCTATCTATCTATCTATCTATTTATCTATCTATCTATATATATCTCCGTATTTTCGTGATGTGTTAAGCTTTTCCTTGATGTATATCATATTGCTCTGTATTCTATACATTGAGCTCTCTACTGATCTATCTTTTCAATATTTGATATTAAAAGAACAACTTGAATTAGCCTATACACTTAACACTTTACGGATCTGATATTATATATATATATATATATATATATATATATATATATATATATATATATATATATATATATATATAAATATATAAAAGAAAGCAGTATAGAGAATATCCTACTCACAGACATCGAAAAAAAAGGGACACGGGAAGGAAGCTGGCCTCATTGTACATAAAACAAGAAAAATACTTTTTTATATCGTATCTATGATTTTATGAAAGGGGGTGGGGGATAAATTTAAGTAACTGATAACACAGTACTTTTTAAAGTTTTATTTTAAATAGGGATGGGGAATCTGTCAGGTAAAAAAAAAATAACAAACACACGATAGAATAATAAGCAGAAAAATTATATAATTAAAATTAAATAAGATCCAACCTGTTTACAATTTTCCAATTGATATAAATCTTTAAAATTAAAACTCTTTAACAATTATCACAAATTTCTCACATAAAAAATAAGAAAAATAATCTTTTAATTAAAATGAACAATAACATTTATATCAGTATAAGATATAATTTTCAAAAGAATATGCTAAAATGATCTTTTCAAGCATTGGTCTGTATTTAATATACAGCTAAAATCCTTTAAGAAAGTGATGAAAAGTCGCATAGATCGATTTTCCTTCCTCTCTCTTTTTCTTACTCTCTCTTTTCCCTCGCTCTCTCCCTATAAATACATTATACACACCCATACACAGATATATATATATATGTGTGTGTGAGTTTCATTAAAGACTACAGACTACTGTCATTAAGTTTTTTATTTAATTTTTCTTGCGATCGTATAAGTTTTTTCTTTTCTGGATCAGTGCCTTTTTATGGCACTTTGGTCCGAAAACTGACGCGTGAGGCATTGTCAAGTCACACTACTTACAATTTTGACACTCCCTTACGAAAGAATGTAAGAATATTAGAAAAACAAAATAAACAATTGCCCAAATTTTCCTTGTCTGTTATAGTCAATGAAACATGTTTGAAAGAAAGATTGCTGCCCAAATATACATTATATATATATATATATATATATATATATATATATATATGTGTGTGTGTGTGTATACATATGTATGTATATATGTGTATATATATGTATATATTTGTATATATATATATATATTTGTATATATATATATATATATATATGTATATATATATATATATATATATATATATATATATATATATATATATATATATATATCAAATAAAGGTTTTCTTTTTGCTAGATTTTATAAACTGTAAGCCATTTAGCATCGTCTAGTCAACATCAAAGATATATTAAAAGAAGAAAAACCTGTACACATTAATGCAATTATTTATTCGAATTCATGTAACGAGATAATAAGAAGGCTACTTGTTTGATTCCTTTTACTATTCAAGATCAAACACTTTACTGAATGCCGCTATAAGGATAAATTATTGTTACAAAAACATTTAGGTTGACTGAAAATACTTTGAATGGCAATCATCAAATTAAAATTACAAGAAACTTCAATATTCAAAAATGAGATGTAATAAAAACATGAGTTTTCAAATAAACCTGATGAAAATGCAATTTCAATGTTCAATTTAATTAGCTTCATTTAGAAAACGTACTTTTCGCTTACATTTAATGAAAATCAATTTTTTTTCTTCCGTCTATAAGAATGTTAATATTAATTTCTTTAAAGTCGAAGTCAGCATGAAACATCTTTAAAAAATCATAAATATCCGAAAAGTTTAGTTAACATTTAGTACCTTAAAAGTCCTTCATGCTCAAATGAAATTTACATTGATTGCTAAGCATTTTACATCAACATACATCTCAAAAGTAAATAAAATTAATTCCTTCAAAGTCGAAGGCAGCGTGAATTTTTTTTTTATTTCAAATATCCGAAAGGTTTATCCCAAATCCTGTCCCATAAAAGTGTCCCATGTTCAGTTAATATATCACCCCGGATCGTACAGGATTTTGTGTAAACTTAGTTCACAAAAGTAAATAAATTTAATTTTTTTAAAGTCGAAGTCACTGTGAAACATATTCTTTTTTTTTTTAAATTACTTATAAATGTTTTCCTAAAATTCAGTACCGTAAACGTGTTCCCTGCTCTTGCCAAATTTACACTGATTGAAAAATATTTTGCAAAAGCTCATTTCTCAAAAATAAATAAAATTTATTTCTTTGAAGCCGTATTCAACGTGAAATATATTTTCAAAATTCACAGACACCCGAAGAGTTTAGATAAAATTCACCACCTTAAAAGTTTTTCCTGTTCAAGTGAAATTTACATTGAATGTAAAACATTTTTCATACACTTATTTCTAAAAAATGATAAGATTTATTACACTTAATTCCAAAAAAAAAGTAGGATTCTAGTAGAAATTTCAAAAGGCATTCATCAAAAGGAAATAAAAACCGTTATTTTTATAAAGTTAAATGGAATTAAAATTGACCTTTTATTTTCAGAGAATAACGACCTTTAACTTAATCTTAGTGTACAGTGTTATCGTGTATATTCCACTTCAATTCACAATTTAGCTTTTAAAGAAAAAAAATATTAAAATAATTACGCATATATTAAAAAATAATAGCTCAAGAATCAAGTATCATTAAAGAATGTCACGGACTGAAAGAACAAGTATTTTATAAATGTCTAAATTAGGCCTTACTTACCTGCTAAGCCCAAACGGGCGAAGAACCAACTCACTGCCATGACCTTTATGAATGTTATTATTCAGAATTTTGCTTATATACCAAAATAATTTGATTGTAGCACCTGTGTACCAATGGTCGAAAAGACAAAACATTTTTAATTGTTTGAATGTGTTTACCAGGGTTCCTCATTATAGAACAGAAATACATTTTTCCCACCTGTTCAAAATTGCCTCGAGTCAGTAAATTGAGTTCAAATAAAAACTGAAGACAATTGAATCCATTGGAATCCATGAATAGGAAACAAATGTCATACAGAAACAAGGAAGTTCAATTGTTAGAATAATCGATATGTCACATAATACCATCAGGTTACATTTTTTAGTATATAACTTTCAAAAATTAGCCGCTGGTTTCCGGAAATAAGCTTTCAATTAATCAAGCTCATTAATAGTTTCAAATTATATATTATTCTATGGACATTGCTTCGTTAATTACTTGTATTCGCCATTACGTCAATTCGTTTGCTCGTTGAGGCACACCAACGAATACCAAAAGTTCAATTCTGCCGAGATGAGCCTTTTCCAAAAATGGCTAGATTAATTTTTATGACATATTAACCCTTGTATTTAATTTAGAATGGTGTACACCGTTATGATTGAACTCACTACTCTTATGGCATCTTAAGCTTAGGTAAACTAGTATTAGTATGAACTAAACATAAAGTGTTGGAATTGATATTCTATTGTTTGACTCCCTAAGAATTAATACTTATTGTTAATATGTTTAGAAAACTCAAATTTGAAGACTTAACTTCTAAAAAATTTTAATAATTAAAATTTAAACGATTATGGCGTCATTTTTATGATACGGGGAAATTAGGCAATTTTTATGACTTATCAACACTTGTTGAGTCATTTAATGTTGAATTATGAATGGGGCACATAGTGAGGACTGAATTCATTAGTAATGATTAAACAGACGAGGCTCACTGTCCATTTCTAAGGCACCCTTTCGAAACTTGTGCGTCGTGACACTATAATGTAATCATCTGATTTTCCTTTAATTATGAACTACAGTTTCCTTGAATTAGTTCATTTCTATATATTTTTAGTATCTGTCTATATTTCTGAGATGAGGTATTATGTACATTATTTACATTATTCGGACTATTGTCCTCATCTTTGTAGCCATATTTATTACAACGTTTCGGCACGTGGAACTAGAACAGTCTATACCAGTGAGCGAAATAAAGGGTTCAGTTCAACATTTCAACCACCTGAAGAAGGCCGGAGCGTACAACGGCCGAAACATTGTAATAATTATGGCGACAAAGATGAGGACAATAGTCCGAATAATGTAAATAATATATATTTTGAATTATATATTTGGTTTGACTTGCAAAGCTCAAGTAATATGCTGCAAAAAATATTCTTAAATTGTGGTTTGGTTTGGTTTGGTTTGGTTTGGTTTTCGGCATATCAACCTCACTGGGTTATTTAGTGCCGACAAGATTTTTATTGCTGGTACCATTATTTTTCAAAAATGTATTGCTGCTCTTATTTTTCCAAAAATGCATTACTTGTAAAGTTTTTTTCTTCAAAAATGAATTGCTGGTAATATTTTCTTTCTTCAAAAATGTATTGCTGGTAATAAAAAAAATGAATTGCTGGTATTAAAACCTATTTTTACTCTTTCATAGTGTTTTAACCCCAGTTTGTAGGTTAACTATTTGCCCATAGTTGGGACCCTAACTGTTGCTACCAACCCGGATTAGGGTGGACCTGAGAAAACCAGCAATTAATAGATGATTCCACGCTCCTCAAAACCACCCGATCAGAGGCCTTGCTGTTGGATGTAGTTTATTGTCTTACCCAGGACGCGAGGGTAGTTTATCGTCTTACCCAGGACGCAGGTGTAGTTTATCGTCTTACCCAGGACTCTCTTAAATTGTGTCGACAATGGGAAGATTTTGTACACTTCTATCAAATATGCTATTTATTTAGAATATCCACAAGCTACTTAATTATTGGATTCGTTGATCTCCCACTCTTCTAATAAAAGAAAAGTGCTCACCTCGACAGTCACCGTTCAAATGACAAACTAGCTTAATTTTAGACCGGTTCCACGCATCCACTTCTAAGACAAAATGATGAAAATAGTTTACTGATTAATCAGAAATCATTCACAAAGTTAAAACTAACAGTTCGTTTCCGATTTACTCCAACACTATATAA